AGAAGGTCTCCCCTGAGCCTCCTTTGCTCCAGGCTCAGCACCCCCAGGTCCCTCAGCTGCTCCTCACCAGACTTGTGCTCTAGACCCTTCCCCAGCTTTGTTGTCCTTCTCTGGACACATTCCAGCCCCTGAATATCGTCCTTGTAGGGCACACACATAGTCCTCATCCCCTTTCCAGAACACAGACAGCAGTCACCCCAGGAAGAAGTCCACAGGGAATGTGCAGGTGGCACAAGCCAGCCAGGGTTTTGCCAGCCTGGGCTCCCAAGAGGGGGCTCAGGGCAGTGTTCCCCCCACGGCGCAGGGTGCAGCCCCTCTGCAGAGCTGCTGCTGCTGCCTGGAAGGGCCAAGCTCACGTGTCCTGGGCACTCCATAGCAGGAGTTGGAGGATGTACACTCACCTCCTGGAGTCGTTGGAGAAGGAGAAGCAATGGACACCAGCACTGTGGCCTTTCAACTCAAAAGCCCTGGTCACCTCCCGGAACTCGCCGTTCTTGCCAAAACACACCTCCCACACCTTCACATCGGGGGTGAAGCCACAGGAGGCCACAAACCTGGGTGAACGAACAAGGAGAGACACACGGGACCTGTTACAGGGTGCTTGCTTCAGCCAGGTGGTGGGGCCTGCCCCACAGAGTGCTCCTCTGGCCTCCTGAGCCAGGCAGGGGTCAGGGGCAGCTCCCCTGCCCCAAGGGCTGGGTGCCCAGGCTCTGTGAACACAAACCCACCCATGCTTCTATGTTCAAGTCTTTGCTTTTGGTCAGCTGAAAAAGTTTTCACTGAACACTGAAACCAGGCTGGTAAAGGGAAAGCTACAGAAGGCCACCAGGGACCAGAACAGCTGAGGAATGAGAAACTCTTAGTTTAAAGTAAAAAAACTAAATGCTTTTGATCCCCAGACTCCCTGAGCTTGGAGCATGGCAAGTCTCCCTGCAGCAACAAGGCAGAGAACAAGAGTTTCCTGATAAACACATTTCCCAGTAACGAAGATTTTAATTTTATAATCAACCTGGGAAAGCTCACAAACAAGTTAGAGATACAGTCTGCTCTGCACACACTGTTTGTGTTGTCCCACCTCCACCACTGGGGCCGGGGCCATGCTCCTCAGCTCCTGGATGTGGTGACCAGGAACAGCAGCACTGAGGCACAACCCCAACCCACTGAGTGTCTGAGAGACAGGTGAGAGTCAGTGCTCCTGGAGGGGCTGCTAGGGGGCCAGAATCCCACCTTAAAACAGGCAACCCTCAGAAAATGGCATTAAAATAACAGCTAACTGCTGATGGTCTGAACTGATGATGTCCTCCAGGCTGGAGCAGGGATTCTGCTCACTCATGCAGGCTCCCATTGTGCAGCAGGAGCAGCCTGGGGCAGCCCCAGCCTCACCTCCCACAGGGTGACACGGTGGCATAGGCATTGTTCATCTGGTTAGTGTTAATGCTGGCCAGGACTTCTCCCTTCAGGCTCCATATCAGGATGGTAGTGTCACTGGAAGCTGTCATGATGAACTTTCCTGAGGGAGAAGAGGCAAAGATCAGCAGAGGTCCCAGGCCTGATGCTGCCACAGACTTACCAAAGGCCTAGGGCAGTCCCTAGATGGGGCAACCTCCCCCAGAAATTCAGCAGCACCAGAATTCAAGAAGCAACAATCTCCTGTGAGTAAGACTCTGTGCCTGGTTCTGCCTTAGTGCATCCCTGGCTCCAGCAGCCTCTTTCCACACATGCTGCTTGCCCCAGCACACTTTGGGCCCCACCCGCAGAGCTCAGCACCAGGCTGGCACCAGAGGATTAACTCAGCAGACTCCATCTGCCCCAGCTGGCTGACACAGAGCTCCAGGTACCCAGAGCTGACAGGTCCTGGACTGCAGGCAGGCACCCAACTACAAATCACACTGCTGTCACCCATGGCTACTGTTTACATCAGCATTTGGGACTCCTGCTTCCTCCTGCTTGCAACACCTTCCCCTTTTCCATCTCACCCTAGGCAGGGAGTTGCCTGTTTACCTTTCAGCTATTTGTTGAGGGTTTAAGATTTCACTTTCACAGCTGAACAAAGGTCTCAGTTAACATTTTCTCTGCTCTCATCACAGAGGTGAGCTCACATCCACCCGATTCCAGCTGCCCGTTGTCACATACCTGAAGCATGAATCCATCAAGTCCTCACCACTAACACATACCAACACCCCCAGCCTCTTTCTAGAAGATCCCAGAAGTCCAAGATAGACCATATGAACTCACTAGAGAGATTTTTTGACTGGTTACAGAGAGATGGGTGGGCCAGAGAAGAGCGATCCTCTCACTGCTGAGACCAGACCTCTTTGCAACAGCATCCCTGAGAATGTAAATTAAGAGACTGAGCTACTTCTGTGCTTACAGGAATATAAACTGTCTGAAAACAACCCCTTACAGCTCCCTTGGGAAGTAAACAAAGGCTAAAAAGTACCACCTAAGAGGCTACAGAGAATCAAGTACCTGTGCAGAACTGGGCCTTGGGAACACCAAAAACTCCCAACACTTTCCACCCAGCAGCTCTTCCTTTACCAGGAAACCAAAGCCCATCTGGAGCAGCTAATTTCCCTACCTGTCTCTGCAATTCCTATGTTAATGATGGGAGCTTTGTGCTTCTTTGGGAAGTCCCCTGAGGCTGCAGTGAAGGTGAAGTTGCCATCCTCCTTCTTAGTCATTTTATAGACACGAATAGTCTCGCCATTCACCAGCCAAACGATGAATGCCCTGTGGAAGGACAGACACCCAGAGCTGTTCAGAAACAAGCTACCTCAGCTCAGCTACAACAGGTAAGCAAACAGGTCATTCAGTGGCACCCAGGGAAGGGGATACACTGGCAGGTAAAAAGCTGTGTGTTTTACAAGGGCACCAGATCCTCTCCCTGAGTTAGCTCATCTGCAGCACTGAATAGAAAAGAACAGGATGTGGAAACAAGAGCCCCTCTCCTCTCTAACACAGGCCACTTCACAAAGAGCCAAGGCATGGCTTTCCACCAACCCTCCCAGACAGAGCTCTCTGTCCCCAGCCTCACAGAGAGGCTCAGCAGCTCTCCCCAGCCACAGGCCCTCCTGACAAAGACCTTCACAAGATCCTTCCACGGGTGCAGCAAGCTGGGCACTGGGATATCTGCCCTGAGAACCACATTAAAGCACCAGCTGCTTTCACGAGCAGTACTGTTAGGACCCTGTGAGGGATGTCACCTCCACGCAGCCCAGAGGGCACATCACTGACCCCGACCGGGGCCGGGGTTGTGCACCCAGCCGGTCTGCCCACAGGACACGCTGTGCCGGTGAGGTGCAGGGATGTCAGACCCTACCGTGAGTCGGGGCTGAGGCGAACCAGCTCGGCGTGGTCCAGCCCCACGTTGGCACGCAGGCAGCGGTGCTCGCGGGCCGCGAAGTCCCGGGTGCTCCACAGCCGCACCGTGCGGTCGTCGGCACAGGACGCCAGGTACTTCCCATCGCTGCTGAAGTCCAGGCAGGAGACGGAGCCGCTGTGGCCCTACGGAGAGCGCGCGGTCACAGCGGG